TCAAAACCAGCGTTTTGTTAAACAATACCCAAACACAGTCCACCGTCAACAACAAGAAAATTTAACAACTGCGTATGGTTAAATAGGTAAATAAGTTTTTCTTATTTAATGAACTGTAGTGTAGTGTATGCAGGATGCTGAGTGTCCCTCCAACTATTCACCATCACCTACATAGATAACCTACCTATTGTTCCCATTTGCAAACAAACAGCGCACAGTTCACACCATTGTTGTTTTGTATATATCTACTATAAACCATTGTGTTGAGATTGCATTTGCACGTGACAAATGGTAACGTCCCGACAAAGTTGAAAATGGTCATTCTAATTTAGTTATCATTGTCAGTCGATATCAAACTTTAAATTAGGAAATTAAAAATATTAGAAATCGCAGTTTTTCTATTTTATTTAATTAAGAAAGGATCATTGATATCAACATTGATTTTCGTAAACAAATAAATAAAACAGTTTTGCAACATTGCTTACACAATTTTCGCGAGAAAATTGACCTCTATCTTTTGTTATATTCGAATGTCCGTCGTGACGCGAGTAGACTCACTGGAGCGAGTCCGTTTCATCACACGACGTGATCTAACATATTTAGAAATAATGGTCTATTATCGCTAAATTCGGCATTTGACCGGCGTAATGTTGCAATAACGTTGGGCTTTTTTTCAAGTCTAATTTCAAATCGCTAAATTGGTTTGTATGTTGGGTTAGTTTACGCGAGATGAATTTTGCTCGGCGTTGTGCAAATTCAATCAAATCCACTCGTCGCGTCGGTGCGATCCACCATGTTGCCACTGCCAGAACAGAAATTTAATAATAACATTTTTGTGCGAAATGCATGTTTGTAACCTATGGCTTTTTCGAAAGTCTTTGGATACGGATGTGAAATAATTAAATACCTAGGTAATTCACACTTGTCGATAGGATCTCTGAAAGGCTAGGCTAAACCGAAAAAGATCTTTTTATTTAGTGAAAATTTAAACAGATGCTTAGAATGAGATAAATAAGTATTTTGCAGAATTTTGTTTCTTTTTTTTACACGAATTAGTATTTTGTTTATTGTTGTTAATGTGAGGGATACCTTTTTACGCTCTGTGGGTAGGAACTCACTGATTTAGGTAATAATTGCTAATCCAGTTCAAATCTCAATATGATTATTTAATGGAGCATATAACAACCATTCCAATCACAAACCCATTTATTTTTAAATGATGCAATTTAATATAAAATAAAGACAATTAGTAGATATAATAAATATGATAGAACAGATCATCCTAAGGGTGACTGATAAGATGAAAAACGTAAATTCTAGGATATTTGCTTTTGAATTTTGTTTCCTATAAATTTCACGATTTTATAATAGAAAAACGGACTCCGTACAATTTAATTGGAAAGCATAGCATAGCAATAACCGTGGTAAATTATTTCAAGAAGCTTGTTATGTAAGCGCAACATCTCATAATCTAGAATTTAAACACTTATGTTTTTAGTGATTTTAATCGCATTTCTTATTTTTAGAGTTCCGTTTATCAAAAGGAAAAAACTGAACCTATACAAGATCACCTATTTGTCCGTCTGTCTGGATGTCTGTTAAGACCCCTTATCTAGGAAAAGCGTGAAAGTATCGAGGTAAAATTTAAACCATATACCTACAGATCGACGGTCCCTTGAAGCTGTGAAAAAAACACACTTCTTAGTAATCGTACAAAAAAAAAGTACCTTTTTTCCACGCCTACTTATTTACTGTATAAACGTCAAATATCTTTTTTTTATCCCGTTTTAAAAGCTTATTTAGTGGTTACCCTGAAACGCGCAGCGCGAAACCCGTTTCCGATCCATCTTGGGCCGGAAATTCAGGGGAAAGCGAGCGGGAAACAAACGGCACCGACTCCTCATAGAACACTAAATAATACGCAACGTTAACTTTGTTTTTCCATCGCCATACTACTTGCTTACTGGATTTATCAAACGCGTGTTATGCGTGTTGTTCATTTGTTTCAATTGTTTGTCATGCCGAGCAGAGGCAGTTAATGCAACCTTTTCTCTTATTATAATTTAATAGCTACTTCGCTCGCGTTATATTCGGGGTAATCACGACAATAAATAAAGTTCACGTCATAGAACTCAAAAGTTATCTAATGATGTGGAAACTCAACTTTGGTAACTAATACCAATAAACATAGTACCTATTTATATATTAAACGGTTTGTTTTCGACAGCGTCTGATAAACATTAACATTTTTTATAGTGTTTCAACAATTGTGATCGTAAATGTCTCGCCGTGAAGTGTTCGGTTCGAATTGACCCATGAATCGTCACATCACAATTTTCTCTAATTGCTATTCCACTGACACTTGGCGATGAATTCGTTCATCGCCGCACATACAAATATATTGTCGTATGTTCTTATTTTTACTCAGCGTCTGTTACGAAAGCCAACATCGATAGTGGGTCAATGTTTCCATATTGGGGTTCCAAAATAATTATGTTTATTTATATAACACACGACTATGCATAATGATATTTCTCGCTTAATAGCCTTAAAGTTAATAGTTTAGCTAATAGTTATTTAAGAAGATTTGACTGTACTGACTTTGTATATTTACTTTTTTAGTAATAGTACTAAAGGCGTTTGTCTTAAATTACCAAAGAATACTGCATACATACAGTTTTAATATTAATTGGGCAACTTAAACGGTTGGGAATATTTATTTCTAAATGACCCACGGGTTACGGTGTTAATAAATACCATTAATAAATTATTAAAAAAATAAAAGACTGCCATGAAAGAGGCATTTTTTTAAAAGGATGGCAAATAACCACAACGTCAGACGCTTGCAATACCAAGACTTGCAATATTTATGACGCGTGGTCTAACGCCAGGCCAATTGTAGCCTTGAAACCTTACCGCCAATAACAATGCAATAACTTTTCGCCCAAAAACATCGCCCGCAGAAATGAATGACATACGATTTTAATATCTTAAAGTGTTTTTGCCTGAAATATGCATTTTTTTTTAGATTTACATTAAGCTTACAACGTTATGTCTGTAGCGATGTGCAGATCAAACATGAAATTTATCATGCTTTAGTGAAATTTTTAAAAGCGCGAATAGCTAATTATGTCGAATATCAGTACACGTAATATTAGAAGCAATTCTTTTGAACAATATCAAGATTATTATAAAAAATCTGAAAGTAACGATGAATTGAAGTAAAGGAATTATGCGATATCTGTTGTGTGAATCAATGTTATGGATGGGAGTTCTGTTAAAGCGAAAAATGTTCTCTTTTATGGAACACTATTGATCAGTAGTAGGTTACCTATTACTGGTTAAATAATGATAGTGACAAAAAGTACTGAGGAATAGGCCAGGGCCGGATTTAGAGGTACACTGGGGCAACAAAATCAAATTCAAAAATAGTGTATTCAGTTTAGGCTGTTATTAGCAGTCATAAATGTCTAGATACCAAACTGTAACATATTTTAATTTTATAAATTAAGGTCATTTACCGCCTTTGAGGGTGAGTTTAAGATTATGCTTTTTTTAGTGAACGCGTAGGCGTGCGATCATAATACCTATCTGTGACAAATTTCAGCGCAATCCTGTCAGTGGTTTGAGCTGTGTATTAGTAGATACAGATTATAAAAATTGACAATACATGATCCTTTACTACGTGTTATATATACGTATTATATCCCAGACGACGTGCCTACATTCGTGGCGAAGGAGCTGCACAAGCTGCCCCCCGTCACGTTCGACCACGTCGATGTCACCAGGCTGTTGATGGATATTAACTTCCTGAAAGTAAGCTTGGCCGATGTAGTAAAAAAGTTAGAAGACTCAAACAACATCATCGGTGAGTTGCGGGCTCAGGTAGCGTTATTCAGTAATGTTGCCGGTGCAAGTAGGTCACCCGAGGCCTCTAACGTGAACACACGTCGCGGGGCGCAAAATGCATCCGTCGGCAGTATAGAGTCGGTGCCTACGAGTGCGTCACCGGCCGCCGTCACCGCGCGCGATTTCGCGCGCCCCGCCGTCGCTGCCCGCATGTCTGCCTCGCCGGATAAGTCACGTGCATGCACGTCTACACCGCAACGAGCTTACGCAGCTGCTGCCGCCAGCCAAGCAAAAGGGGAAGAGTAGCAATTCCTGTGTCAAACGTGTTACTCCGGCTGCATCACAAAATCAGATTTGCGACGAAGAGGGATTCATCAAGGTGGAAAGGAAGAAGAAGAAGCCCGCTTGCCGCAATTTGTGTGGTGTTGCCCCGACTGGACCGAATCACCTGCTGCGTCCTGCAATACCGACGACGCCGCTATACGTGTCCCGACTGCATTACTCTACGAAGGAAGAGGAGATCGTGGAGTACCTGCGGATGAAGACCAAGTTCTCTCTGAGAGTCGTACGGTTGGAGTCCCGTCACAATGTGAATTTTAATTCATTTGTGGTGAGGGTGCGGACTGAACATCTGGCGACTTTCATGAAGGAGGATCTTTGGCCGAAAGGTGTAGTGTTCCGGCGCTTCCGAGGTCGGTTACCTGACAGCACTTCGCGTCACACGTTGCCGTCTATACATGTTCGTTAGGTGTTTACTAACAGTTAATAATTTTATTTACTAATAACAATGTTTTATATCTGTATATATGTTAGACTATAAGGTATTTATCTATGGACCTATGTAGCCTGATTATAAATAAATAAATAAATAAAATAAAAAAAATATATAAAAAACGAAGAAATGGAGCATTTTAAAATCTGGCGACTAAAAATGACATTTAAGTTGGTGACCCGTCGAAATTTGCTTATTGTTTCTGCCTTGTGGAGGCCCTTGGGCAGTTGCTTGTCTTGCCTAAAATCCGGCCCTGGAACAGGCTGTTCCTTTTACGGAATTATAAAAAAAGCTTTTTGTCCAATAATGGGTTACTAATGGTTATTATTTTGAACGATAAAGCTTACTGTTTGATGGTAGTGTTGTTCGGAGCACTTACTATTGAAGTCGGCGGAGGTGTTCATGAGAAGGCTCGCGATGAAGGCAGCTAGGAAGGCGATTGCGAGGATGCACGCCACGCCGGCCACGAGCATCAGCCGCTTCTCCAGCTTTGTACGCTGGCCCCAAAACGATGGTCTGCAACAATATCAAATATAATATAGGAACAGAAATTTTTATGCGGATAGGAATCGAACCCGCACCCTCCGCTCTCCGGGCGGTTGTAGATTTCAAATGTTTTAACTACTTTCTTGTTTCTCAATGGTGTTAATTTCGCCTTCGATAAACATATTTATGTAAAAGACAAGTACCTATTTCGATGTTTTAAACGAATATATGTTATGAAATTAGTTTTAATTTTATATTAGTTATTAATTTAAAATTAAAACTAATTATTAATTTTATATTAGGTAGTATTCTTACTGCCAAATTCACATACAACTATCCGCCCGACTCGGTGAAAAGGAATTGTAAGTACGCTGCAATCAATCGTAGCGAATAAAATTCGCCAAAATATTATATATTTCATTGGTTATTAATTAATTACCTGAACCGGATACTGTTATAATATTAACGTTCAAGAATTAAGTATAATTAAGTAAACTGTAGATGAAAAACAAGTAGATTATACAGTAGTATAATCTACTTGTTTTTCATCTACAGTTTAAAAAATTGGAAACAACTTCATCTGGGCACATTCCCATGTAGAAAAGTGTCTTTTTCTATTGATTCCAGTCTCGATGCCACTACGTTCATTGAGATAAATTTATTGAACCAGCATCAATAATGAATTATAAATGCATGTTATTGGATGTGACGAAGTTACACCGTGCTTATTGTGAAGACGTAAATTGTATACACGTGTCCATAACTATTATGTAAATTGCTGTTTATTTTATTTTACTTAATAAGAGTATGTATGTATGTACCTATACCTAATCAAATATGAAAATTGAGTAAAGTTAATTTTTTATTTTTAAGTTATTTATATATTCAGGTAGAATATTTTCCAACCCTGAATATATTTAACTTAAAATCAAATAATTTTGAGATAATGCATAATTTATTTTTAAAGGTATTCGTTTTTAAGTTATTTATGTATTCATCATTATAAGGTTGAAAAATATTCAACCTGAACATTAAAGAGATAAGAACAATTAAATAAAAAGATCTTAAAAAAAATGGATGAATACAATTAGTCAATTTATTTCCTAATATTGATAACAAAATCAAAGTTTAAAGTAAACTAACCATATCACAACATTATCTGTTATTAGTAAGACTTCGAAGAATTTACATAAACCACCAATCTAAAGAAAGTCGCCTAACAAATTGTTTAACTGCTCGCATGGATTGAGTTACATAATTTTAACCCAGCAGTCGCGTTGTATAAGCCCGACCAAACCACGAGCACAAGTCACATAATTATCAAGTTCATGCGGATTCGAATATGCAACTGATGCAACTTCCTCTCTCTAATGCAGTCAAGATTAATAGAAAACTTTGTGCAAGTTGAGTAACAATCTTGTCTCACAATAACAGAATCATTCAAACTGAATGAAGCGGCGGCAAATGGAATGGATTGTGTTTATTATTAATTAAACAAGAAGTTATATCAAATTAATGATAGATTTAAAGTAAGCAATAAGATATTAATAAGTAATAGGTTCATAATAAACAGAAAAAGAACAGGCCAAGTGCGGATCGGACTCGCTTATGAGACACTACCTATGCAGCAAAAAACGACAAAATAATCACGTTTGTTGTATGGGCGATCGCAACCCACCGCGAAAGGCAAACCGCGGTGTTTTCTGAACTTGTTGTTTAAATACAGCATATAGGTAGGCATCTTATAACAAAATTTCACCTTTGGGCAAGCATTCTACATAAAATACCAAAATTTCAGTTTTGTAACTCATTCCATTTTCGTTATCTAGAGACCCGTGACACACGGACAGACAGACGACACAGTGACAGCAAAAGCGTTCCATTTTTACCCTTTGGGTACGAAACCCTAAAAAGTGTTTATGCTTTGTTAAAAAAGACCGATGTTTTTTTATTTTAAAAATACAGATTTATACCAATGCTATGCAAATCAAGGTGAGCGTCGGGCACATTTCTAGACTTGTGTTGTGATGTTTATTCAAACCGATTATACTATGTACCTATATCACAAATTTTCTCAGCAATAAGTTAAACCAAATCTAATAATCAAATCATTTTTACTAATTGTGAATCCTACCAGTTTCTGTTCACGCGTACAACAATATCCATCCATTGTGAGAATTTCCAAGCACTGTGATCTGCCAGGATTTCTCTAGTTAAAAAGTGCAAAAATATAAAATGAAATACTAAAAAAATATTGTCCTCCAAATTTATTAGTCGTTAAGAGAAGAGATAAAAAGTTAAAGATCTTCTTTTTCTCTCAAAAACGGAATACATTTTGCAAAAGTTCAACTTGAACAGTGTTAAGAAAGCTTTTTCCTATGTCACATCAGTATGTAGAAGTGTAAAACTAGAGATTGTTTATTCTTTGAAGGGGAAAATTGCTACGAAATTTTCAATTTGTTTTGGTAACTCGATTTTCTTGAACCGCTATTTCACTGGTGTTAAACCGAAAGAAGTCGCGGGGGAGCCCTATTTGATCCATCCTTATGGGGTATTAAAGAAAACGTAAGACTCTTAGAGTTTTTTTTTATATACAAAGAGGCTGTTCTATTGATAAGATCGGTAAATAAGACATTTGTAAAATAAGAATTACTTAAAAATAAATATTTTTATACATTCGTTAATAGTAGGTATAGTTTTAAACGCATTGATGATATTAAAAATAAATGAGATTATGTCTGATTAAATAAGTTGATGATGAAAGATTAATGCAAATGTATAAATAGAAAATAATGTAACTTTATATTCATTGCATTAATTCATTGTCCGCAGTAATCCAAAACTTACATAACCCAAATATCATTGTTGACGGAAATACAGGTGCTCACTCAACATTTATAATACAGATGCCTTGCTCTGAACTGTAAATAAATGTCTTACAACACGAGGGTATTAATAACATAAATATCATAAAGATGACACATTAATGATTGAAACAAAAATAATGTTTGTTTTTTAGAAATATCTTAGTAATTTATAGAGGGGGGGGGGGCTCCCCACACTAAGTTGCATAAAGTGAAGGTCTACTCTAAACTCACGAGACTACACAAATGAATGTTTTCCTTAAATTATCGTGGCAAATGACATTGAAACCTTTTTTTTTTCAAACGGTTCGATTTGGTCGTGTAAGCAAATATTTCGTAAACGAATTGAGTGAAAACTTTCCTGGAGTCAGTCCAACATCGAGCAGGCCATAAACACAATAATAAATATATCGGTTTCCACTGTCAGCGTCATATTTTTTCTTGACGCACCTTGAGACCCCGATAGTGCCCTACCTACTATAAAATATTAAAATTATTCTTTAATTATATTAAGGCTTAATCCTATTTGACACAATGTCCTTTACCCCCTTATTAATAAACAAGCACTAAGCTTGGATAAGTTACTCCATGTTTTAACTTTGTTCATTAAATGACATTTGAGTGATATGAAGAAAACAAGGCATAGCTAGTCTAAGTTAATTCCTCGTTTATTAATAAGGGGGTTAATTGTGTAAAATCAAATAGGTACTATTGAATTTTAAACATGATCCGCCTTACAACCAAGACTAAAGTAGAACCTGAAGTAAAACTAATGCTGTCAGTTTTGTTTGCTAAAAAGAATACAGAGACAACATTAGGGTTTAAACCAAGACTTTAGCCCGCGTTGGAGAATAAGGCGGAGATAAATTTTCAATTACATTTAATAACTTTGTCATATGTCAACCTTAAACTTATATTAATGACTCTTTAAGCGAGATAAATATGATACTTACATATCCGAAAAACAATAACAGTTTTGTTTTCTTAAGTACCTAAGATTCTCGTCAAACAGCTAGATTAAAAAATATTTTTTAAGATTTCAATAATCAAATCAAATATCATAAACTCAAACTGCTGTTTTGTGTTCAATAAATAAATGGATAAAGATTAAGTTTATCAACAAAGTTCGGCTTACAAACACGTAATTGTTAAACTGTGTTAAAGTAATAATAATGACTTCAATTAAATTGATATATTTAATATTTCAGATAGTAATTAAATTAAATTCTTAAACTAAAATTAAAAAAAACATTTAAATTTAAAGAATATTACACGTTTATATCTTTTGTCTTCTTAATTTTTTTTTTATTTTAAGTATAATACTGTGTGTAATAATGTGTTTCTGTAACTATTAAGTTAAATTGTTGGCACTGTAACACTAGGTAACTACTCGCTGAGGAAAACATTTGACTATAATAAAAACATTATCTATGTTTTAAAAGACCTTTATTGGTTATAAAAAATAATAAGTTAATGCGACTGACGTATCCTGACGCTCCCAAATATTATCAAGATAAAGAATATAAGTTTCCTGAAAACTTTTCATTAAAACGAAATTAAATTGTATGTTTTTTTCGCATGAACAGTAAAAGTACGCAAATAGTAAATGATCCGGTAAACGTGTATGCCGTATAACTAACTAAGCCTAAGGATAACTTTACTCGTACGTCGATTATTTCAAACTACGTATTACGCGGGTAATAAGTCAATGTATTGCAGAAGAGATTTATAAGTGATGAGAACTGAAGATTCTCGTAAAATAATAAATGGGAAATCTGCATTGTCAATGTAGGTAGTAGTGTTTTATTTACCTTATTATCATGTGACACGATTCAGCTATTAATACAACTCGAGGCGTGTGATACGTAGAAAGTGTGGTATTGTTCAATACACACATATTTTTAGAGTATACGATCTACACGTGCGTTTCACCATTAATCCTGACATTGATTACAATTTATAGGTCACATTGAAGTCTTTATTGTATTCACATATATAAGTATAGATATATACACGAATCGCTATAGCAGCATATAATTTCAAACTAGTGACTGCTATGGTTTAATACTAGTGTAATCTTAAGGGAAGTACTTATTTTTCAATACAATAATTGTCAAAACATCATCGTTACTTCCTACATGTCCGTAAATCTGTCATATACTTTCC